TATTTAATTTTTCTAAAAGAAAAATAAAAAAAAAAATGGTAACATGAGATGATATTATGATGGGTAGTAGCTACCCACCCATTCAAGGTATGTTCACTTATTTCAAAAGAAATTTTTGTACATACAGGATTGGTTTCCCAATGCTCACTATGAATGTTTTAAATATAAGTGTTATATTTGTGGGGATATAAATTGTTTGAATAATAATTCTAGTGAGCATTACCATAGTAGATTCAAAATCCCGCATCCTATGGATTTATATAAAATGCAATACATATATTCTTCTGACACATGTTTTGATTTTTTAACATATGCAGTTAAAAATGACCAACTTTAATCCTTTGTCCAAAATTCTTGATGATAATCATTTGACTGGATCAAACTATGTGGATTGGAAGAGAAATTTAACAATTGTCCTCATTGCTGAAAAATTGAACCATGTCCTAACCATTGATCCACCTGCACTTCCTGAGGCGGATGCCACTGATGAACAACGTGAGGCTGTTAGGAAGTGGCATTAGGCAGATGATGTTGCAAAATGATAGATATTGGCCTCAATGACCAATATGTTGCAAAAGCAGCATGAGGGTGTTCCTACTGCAAAAGACATGATGGTTAACTTGAAAGAAATGTTTGGAGAATAGAGCAGAAGTGCACGCCAAACAGCCATGAAAGGTTTGATGTCCACCAAAATGATGGAAGGTACTCCAGTACGGGAACATGTTCTGAAAATGATATCTTTCATTAACATACTGGAAACTTTGGGTGCGGATATTGATGGTGAAATTAAAATTGATGCGATGCTTTCATCTTTACCAGATTCTTATAATCAGTTTATTTTGAATTACAATATGAATAAGATGATTGTTACACCATCAGAGTTGCTCAATATGTTACAAGCAGCAGAGGATCTCATTAAAAAGAGCCAACCCACTGTGATGATGGGTGAGAAGGAAAGTCCTAGAAAATTCAAGCCTAAGGGCAAGAATAATTTTAATAAAGAATCTATGGGCTAAGTTCTCTAGAAAAACACAAGGTGTTTTTAAAAAGGGCATAGATAAAAACAAAAGTAAAGGAAATTGTTTCCATTGCCGAAAGCATGGCCATTGGAAGAGAAACTGCCGTCATTATTTGGCAACACTGAAAAAGGACAAACCTTCGGAAGGGGTTCAAGGAGACCAAAAGGCTTAATGAAGGGGTGATGCTAATAAAGTTGGGAACAAGTGCAACAATTGCTGCAGTTTCCATAGGAATTTTTTAATTTGAAATTGTCATAAGACTTTAGTTTTAGAAGATTGTCTATTTGTGCCAGATATCCGTAGAAATTTAATTTCTGTTTCAAAGTTATTTTCGTTGGGATATTGTTTTTCCTTTTCTTCAAAAGTTGTTATTAAGCACAATAATAAATTTGTGGTTTCTGGCATTTTAATAGATGGTCTTTACTTTATTAGTCCTATTGATAATTCCATTAATTGTGTTAAGAATGATATATCCATTGGTATGTTACCCCTAAAAAGGAAAAGGGATGTCAATCAAACTTACATGTGGCACTTGAAACTTGGTCATATAAATTTAGAGTGTCTAAATAGATTGGTCAAGGATGGGCTTTTAGTTTTTTGAAAATTGAGCCTTATCCAATTTGTGAGCCCTGCTTGCAAGGAAAAATGATTAAAATTCCATTTCTAAGAAAAGGAATTAGAGCCACAGAAGCTTTGGGATTAATACACAGATGTTTGAGGTTCAAAAAAAAAAAAATATCACATAGCAAGAAGTGGTTTTTATTATTTCATTACATTCACCGATGATTAGTCTAGGTATGATTATTTGTACCTAATATAAGTCTGAATCCTTTGAAAAGTTCAAGGAATTTCGTAGCAACTTGGAAAAAGTATCAAAGCTCTTCGATCAGATCGTAGGGAGAATACCTTTTAGATGATTTTTGAAATCATTTAAAAGAGAATCGTATTAAATACATGTGTAATTGGTTTTGAGTGCAAGTGTAATTGGTTTTGAGTGCAAGTGGGAGAATGTTAGCATTTGTGCCCTCAAAAACTAATTTGTTGACTTTATTGACTGATTAAATAAATTGCTTGGCATTTTATTTTGCACTTTGTATATTATTATTATGGGTAATGTTATATTTAATATTACATATGATGTGAACATAAGGTCCCTTGGGTAATATTGTAGAAAAACATGCTAATGGTTAATGAACCAAAAGCTGGGAGTTATGATTTTTCGGTGCCTTGTAGACCCAATTAATGTTCTAGGCTATGGGTGTTGATTGGGAGTCACACTACTATGGCCTACACCTGTTTTGCTGCTATATGATAGAATGATTAATTGCATCATTGAGGTAGTGACCTTAGGCAAATAGGTGGGTGTTATGCAATAAGTACATGCACTGAACATGATCGGTTTTGAGAACACCTATGGAATGATCACTGTCAGTTTAAAAGGTAGTTCTATTACAATATACTTATTTTCCTTTTACCTGAGAGGCTTGTATAAATTAATTAACTATTCATTTAACTTTGACATTGTCAATCGGTGATGTCAAACCAAAGGCTATACACGGACATGTTGGGTTATGTGAGTGGTCATTGATTTTATATAGGTGTTTAACATGGAATCCACCATTCTCAAAGTGAGAAAGTATATTCAAGCAATTTTTCCTATTAACATTGGACCAAAAGAAAACCGACCGGTTACTTTTTCATAAAAATATTTTATACATATATAATTGTAAAAATACTATTTTTTAGAAAATGCTTTTATGGTCCAATTAGAAGACGGAAAAATTTAGAATTCGGTTACATGATTTAGGGCTTTTGATAGTGATAAATTTTTCCATACCTAATAGCTCATGTGGAATATAGTTTGGTGGAAGGAAATTTATGATTAATTGTAAGAAAGGGCCTCACTTGTAATTCTCTACTTTTAGGGGTTTAATTGTAATGTGTTGATGGACATTATTGCAATTAGTGGAAGTTCTATATTATCTGTTTAAAAGATAATTAATGAAAAATTGGATAAGTTGTGTCCTGCATATTTAAGATAAAAGATACATCTTTTATTTTATCCCCACAACTAAAAGATAGAGATCCCTAAGGATCCCACCTATATGCAAACTCTCTCATGTGTTGTGTATATATATTAGTTGTATTTGATACAAAAATTGGCCATCAGAATTTTTAAGGTCTGAAGAAAATATATACGCAAAAATAAAAAGTAAGAGGGTGCAAGGTGAATCACTTTGGAGGCGAGACACTTGGATCGCTTGGTGAGGTTTTATCAACAACAACATGTTTGGATTGAGGTATTTTAGATTGTGTAATCAGGTGGTGTTTCTTTGAAAAGTGTTTTTTTTAAAATAAATTATTTTTCCGCAAACTTTCATTTATGACGTGATCAACATATCCAGACTAACAATCACTATCATAACTATCAACTCATATTAATGATGAGTTTACATCTTGAAAAATTCAAGAGAAATCTATGACAAAAATATCATGTCACTCCATCTCTTTTGTTACAAGAGACTAAGAACCATCTCTTCAATTCTAAGAGATAAACCCCCACTGTGGACACCCCATTATTGACCGCCCGCAAGACTTGGACGCTTTGTCCTAGGCACTCTATGATGAAGTTGCGTTGTGTGTGATTCGAAGTCTCAATGAAGGAAAGTGTTTTTTTTAAAAAAAATTATTTTTCCGCAAACTTTCATTTATGACGTGATCAACATATCCGGACTATCAATCACTATCATAACTATCAACTCATATTAATGATGAGTTTACATCTTGAAAAATTCAAGAGAAATCTATGACAAAAATATCACGTCACTCCATATCTTTTGTTACAAGAGACTAAGAACCATCTCTTCAATTCTAAGAGATAAACCCCCACTGTGGACACCCCATTATTGACCGCCCGCAAGACTTGGACACTTTGTCCTAGGCACTCTATGATGAAGTTGCGTTGTGTGTGATTCGAAGTCTCAACGAAGGGACGTAATCTCGCGTTCCAAAACCAGTTCCAAACCTTTCATATTCATACTATTTTTTACCCTAGAAATTCATTTTTAAACATTATGCCACCCTACATTGAGTTTAAGAACAGTGGAATAGGAAAACACATTGGAAGCCAGCCGTACCACATTGGGAGCCGGCCGTAGCTATTGGGAGCCGACCGGCTCTCGATAGCGAGAAACACTGTTCTGGGCGGGAATGAGCCAACTATCCATTTTTGAAGATATTTATGACCTATTTTGCTCAAATTCTATAAATATGAGCATATATCTCAGTGTTAGAGGTTGGAAAAATTTCAAAGAAGCAAACACATAGTTGAGAGCCCCTTCTTCTTGTGCAAGCTAACTTTGAGCTACTTGATCATCCATACACCATCTCTATACACTACACACAACCTTGGAGCCATACATTGGAACCTTGGTTGAGCTTTGTTGATCATAATTCAAGCTTGAGAGTGTGCTCGGACCAAGTTTGGTTCAGAAATAAGAGCTTACCTTTTTCAAGAGGTATAAGCTTACCACATTTCCCTAACTTTCACTTCTGCCTTTCTCTATCTCTTTCTAGTGTTTTTGTATTGTTTTGATCCTATTTCAAGTGTTAGAACTTGGGTTTGAATAGCTAATGTTGCTCGTCTTTTTCACGCCCCCTTTCGGAGGTTTGAAAGAAAGCCCTACAGTTTAGACTCCCGCGGTTCTAAATCTAATCTCACAAGTGCAATGTGAAATTGATAAACACCAAAGAGTCCAAGTCTGGAAAATCATTTGGAAAATTGATTTTGAATTAAAGTGCCAGAAATGGACTACTTTACCAGATACAGAGTTGCCACCTAAATATTTTATTTTGGAAAAATTTAGGAAATCCATGACTCATGCCAAAGGCTATGTGTCTGTCATCACCAAAGTTGCCTCGGCTCGGGAACTTAGGAACGAGAAAGGAAAGTCATGAATTGAGCACCCCCGCTTCGGATGATCAAAGATCGGCCTCTACTAATCATGATATGATTTTTATCAACATTATATGCTCTTGTTCCAGTTTATAAGGCTAGCATTTACTATGTGATGCGCGCACACAAGATATAGACTAGTTTGCCCGAATTGGAACAATTCGATTTCATGTTTTTTTTTTCAAAAAGGGTTTGATTTTGCCACCTCAAGTGGGCTTAAAGTTTGCAAATTTGTCACTCAACAAAGTGGGTTTAAGCGCACATTCATTGAATTATTCCAATTCAGGCAACATGCCTTCATCCATAGGCATTCAAACAGTTTAGCAAGGAAGCATTTAGCCTCATGGCAAGCATGCCGCTAGTCATGGCAATCACTCACACTCATGCAAGTATGCTAAAGCACTAAAAGCTCACCTAGTACTCCAAGCCAAAAAAAGAAACTAGTTAGGAAAAATGCATGTTCCTAACTATGCCAAATGTCTAATGCAACATATACAATATGCAAGTAATAGGCTCGGCTACTAATATGGCATATGGATTAATTTAAATAGCATGCGGTTTAAGCACGTATTCAAAGAAGTATTGAACTAACAATGCAGTTAGAATGATGAACCGAGCCTCGGTGCATGCAATACAAAATGAATGGATGCAAACATGAAGTATGCTAAATGAAACGTGATGCTCCTACTCTAACCATCAAAAACGGATAAATAAAAAGGAGAAAGACGTGGGGTTGGAAGACATACACATTATTACATTGCGTTCTCACGAAGGAGAGTCTGAATGAATTAAGCTAACTCGCTAACTAAGTTAAGCTAATTAGAGCTAAAGCTAATTATTACAAACCGAATAAATAGCTAAACTAATTAACTAATTATTACAACAACAAACGAATTAATTAGCTCACTAAATAATTACAATATAAATATAAGTAAACTAAGTAGTTAAACTAAGCATCTAATTACTTTGCCTCAGGAAAAGATGGATGTGCATTCGCATGCTCGAATATCACCCGAAAAGACCACAGTTTTGCTCCCGAATG